AGATCATGCTGAGACATTAGTCCTTTAATCCTGATTAATAGGCCATAATAGGTTTAAGGTCCCCATAATTTAACATGAGTGGACTGGATTTCTCCAACATTGGGCAGAAAATACAGGAATCTTTGTTTTTTTGTTTTGTTATAAAGACCATGTTGGACATCAGCAATCTTAATGAAGTTTGAAACCACAATGCAAGAAACGTATGTATTGGTGTGGACCTAAGTTTTAACAGTTATGTGCAAACTATTAAATCACCAACCTAATTCCTTCTTTTCCCATTTTTAGTTGGTAATATTAATTATTGATAATATTAATCATAAATTTGCTTTGTACTAAATTGACTTTTGTAGAAAGCACACTTGTTGAGTGCACACAGCTCTTTCTCTGCAGCTTTACTCAAAGGTACTTTCAAAATAAAGCAGGTTACAGTCATTTGTTTCTGGTTGTATTTTTTTTATCTGTTTTGTTTTAGTTTTGCTTTTTGTAAACAGATTAGTTGTGGAGGGTGGAGGGAAAGTTTGGACAGGTATCTATGAATCTTCTGTTTGGAATCTGTCTGGTTCATGTAGAGATAATATACTAAAAAGACTAAAAAAGCCTGGAGCTTGTGTGTGTGAAGTTTCATGGGAGGATCTATTTTAACTTAATCATTTGTGTTTGTATGAGAAAACTCTTGGATTCTGGTGTCATGTCGAGATTTAACTGAATTATAAATATGTGTGATGCTGTTAGCACTTTGAACACATGCAAGGCGGTCCATCCCTGCTAGAATCTGCAGACATTTCTTTGCTTTTCAGCCTCCATGTGTGCAGCTTTAGTCTTGTGACAGAAGTCCCATGTAATCTTTTAAACCACTGTGTCGTTAGTCGACACTCCCTGAAAATGAGAGGATTACTGTCTTGAAGGCTAACATGGAGAATGAAGTGGACTAAACACATTCACCCACTTTCACTTAATCCTGGCAAGACAGACCTTTCATGCATTGACCATTAAGAAAGCAGATACAGCTAATTGTTAAATTGACTACTCCATTGATTTTTGATTTTTTTTTTTTTTAACTGTGTATCATTTATTTGCTCATCAGGAGATCATACATATATTGATGTTACATACATTGTACAAAGCTTACATGACTTCTCCAATTTTTTGTTTTCTTTTTTACACAGTTTTTTTTTCTTTTTCCCCCCCTTCCCTCTTCCTTCCCTCCTTCTCCTCCCCCCACATTCCCTCTTCTTTCCCTCTTCCCTTCCCTTTCCCCATAGCAAACTTAAATCCCTCTATAGACATAACAAAAACAGGACCAAATAAGTATAATTACATTTAAAAAAAAAAGAAAAAAAAAAGGGATACATTAACAACCAAAAAATGAAAATAATAATGATGGGATGGAGCGGGGGTTGGACGGCATTGAGAAGCTAAAAGGCAACAACTCTTCACTCAATTAATGTGTACATTTAAGTCACATGACATGAAGGGTCAATCATATCTATCTATACATTATAAAGGCAGAGATTTTATGTATGTCATAAGAGGTGCCCACTTGTGAGTAAATTTTGCTGAATTACCTTTTACTGTTAATAGAATCTTTTCCATCTTTAAGCATGATCTAACAGTATTAAGCCACTGAGAAATAGATGGAGGTATAGGAGACTTCCAACAGAGTAAAATGCATCGCCTGGCAAGGAGAGAACAAAAAGCCAAGACCTCCCCCTGCAGGGGCGACAGATTAATTGAGGTCCCTGGAACTCCAAAAATGGCAATTAGTGGGTCGCTTCGGATCTGGATTCCAAAAACCCCTGAGAGTGTGGAAAAGACATAGTCCCAAAATTTTTGTAAACTTGGGCAAAAGAAAAACATATGACTTAAGTTGCAGGGAGAGGTCCGGCACCGGTCACACTGGTCCAAAATCGAAGGAAAAATTTTAGAAAGACGGGATTTTGAAAAGTGGACTCTGTTTATCACTTTAAACTGTACAAGCTGTAACCTGGCACATGGTGTGCTTTGGCGTATACTGAGAATAACTTTATCCCACCATGAATCGGACAGTTCAACACCCAATTCACGTTCCCAAAGAGTTCTGGATTTACCCGATGAGTCGGGGTCAATTCCCATAAGTTTTCCATATATATTAGAAAGGGGAGATTTCAGATTGGGTTTCAGAACTAGTAGGTCGACCCATAGTGGGTCAACAGGAAGAGTTGGAAAATTTGGGAACAGCGAAGAAACACAATGTCTAATTTGGAAATAGAGAAACAGATGAGAAGTAGGTAGATTCAATTTTGAGGACAACTCCGTAAAACTAAGAAATAGACCATCTTTGTAGAGATCTCTCATTGTACAGATGCCTCTCTCATGCCAAACTCTGTAGCCAACATTAGTGGTCGCAGGAGAAAATATAGGATTTTTTAGTAACGGCATTTTATTAGAGGGAGACGTAAATTTGAAATGGGACCTAAATTGTGACCAGATCCTCAGCGTAGAGAGCACTATAGGATTTTTAGAAACAGAGGGAAGTTTAATTGGTAATGATGAATAGATAATAGAGGCAGGTGAAAAAGATCTAGATATCGATTGAATTTCAAGTTTACACCAGAACAGATTGGGTGAATTTAGCCAATAAATCAATTTATGAATATGTGAAGACCAGTAATACATTGCAAAATTGGGTAAGGAAAGACCACCACTTGTTGTGAACTGTTGCAATAGAGAAAGCCTCAATCTGGGGGCCTTATTATTCCATAAAAATGAAGAAACCATCTGATCCAGGGACTTGAAGAACTGTTTAGGCAAGAATAAAGGGATACATTGAAATAAAAGATTTTTTTTTTTTTAAGGAAATGAGTCTGATGATTACAAATACTAAGTCTGTTTGTGTTTATTTTGTTTAAAGAGATGATGAAATCACCCTAATGGATTTTATTTGAAATTCATGGTGTCTATACTTAGAGTAGACTTCATAAAACATAGTTTATAAGTAAATCTGAGACAAGGAGTATCATCAATCAAAGATGGAAGAAAAGGAAGATGTTTTTAAAGGATCATTTCAATTCAGTTTTATTTATATAGCACCAATTCACAACACACATCATCTCAAGGCATTTTACAATGACAATTTAACCAGATTATACAATCAGATTGGTTCAAAGTTTTCTATTTAATGAAAACCAGCTGATTGCATCGACTCATTGACTGAAAGGCAATCCCTTCAAAAGGACAGCAGGAGAAATGAGAACTAGAAAGCGGGGCAGAAAACGAATAAATAACATGATCATCTTAATTTATATGTTCAAATATAGTTGGCATATTTACAGCAGTGGCCATTCAAAATGTCTCCCGCTTTCCTTGATGGACCCTTGGCTGGTCCTTGCCTCATCCCCTACAATTCCTTTTTCAGCATCAATCTTTGTACTAAATTATTCTTTCTTTCATGATGAGTAGACATTAAGGTCTAAAGAAAAGCATCATCTCCTGATCAGACCCTGTAATTCAGTGAAAGGGTGGAGTCAGAGTAAAAAAAAAAATGTCAAGGAGAAGTCCTATGGCTGGAAGTTGGAGGGGATTTTACTGAATGAATAAACTGTTCATGCAAAAAAAAACAAAAAACAACTTTTTAATGTATTTAATTAAATGGAGGAAATATGAACATTTCATGGGATTTGACCAGGTGATCTAGATAATTGAAAAAAGTGGACCGACTGATCAATGCATCAGTTATTGACACAATTCCCTATCAGAACTAGATGTTAACATTTTTTAAGTTTGAGCTTTGACAATAAAATCAATGTTCAGAATATAAAACACATCTCTCTGAAAATAAAGAAAAAACAAATTGAAGAGTGTGAGTAAATCGATTAGTGCTGCCCTTTAGGAGATAAACCACTGACAGCTTGCATTGACATTGAACCCTAAATCCCCCCAAAAAGATTGTAAAATAAAATAATTCAAACGTAAAAGAATCTAACATTTAAAATTGTTTATTGGAAAGTCAAACATTGCTACTAAAAAAATTTGATTTTACACAGCAGCCTTTTTTTTCCAACCCAGAAGCCAATTTCAGTTTCTCCTTTTACCTTTTACTGCCTCCCACCAATGAGAAGCTGCTGATGGGCGGACGGTCAGTCAGCTGATGACTCCAACACTTCAGCCTCTCTCCTCACTGTCTGCACATCTCATCACATCAAAGACTTTATTTACGCGCAATGTGGAGAATGTGGCTCCGCGGTGAGGAGGAGACTCCTGATAACTCCGCGGGGTTTTCATCGGGTTTGCGCTCCTCTCTACGATCACCTGGATCTAAAGCAGACATGCAGATGCGGCAGATATCGGACACTTTTCGCTCTTATTTATGATACTTTGCATGCGGTGCCTTTCCTGTGATGGGGGGACGCGCACGGAGCTGCGGCGCACTGGTCCTTCTGGCCATCCTTGGCTCCTGCCGAGGCGTAACGCTGAAGCCAATCGACTGGAGCAGCTCCAACACCAAGTAAGGAGACATGAGATGATAAATGATTGTCTCTCTGACCAGGCATATTTGCGCTGGATTTGTAAAGTTAAAGAAGTGAACTTTTAGCTGTTTCTAGTTGTGTTCTTTTAAATCTGCAGAAATTCTGTTAATTTCTAGCTTGAATATTCATTTTGTAGTCTAAAACTGTGGAAAACCCTAATTAAAATGTTCATTATTTACTGATCGGCATTAAAAAAGGAGCATTTAAGTAAAAAAAAAACAAGGCAAGGATCTCTGAATTTTTACTTTTGAATGTTTTTTTTTTAGTGCAAAATTACTTATTTACAATTATTGATCATCCAGAAAGTGAAATTGATGTCTTCAGCTGTTGGTGTCCTACTAAAAGCACTGCTACTGTATGATTTATTAATCTGAGCAAAGAATCTTACATCAAAGCTTGCAAAAGTTAACCATATATAAACTAGGGTTCTATGCCCTTATCTTGCAGATTCACTTCCACTCAGGGTTTGGTCCTCTACCCTCAGATAGGGGACAAGATGGACATTGTTTGTCCCCGGGCTGATCCCTCATCAGGTAGGACAGAGGAGTTCTACAAAGTCTACCTGGTGACCAAACGTCAGATGGAGAGCTGCAGTGTGGAGAAGACGGACACGCCTCTGCTTAACTGTGACAAGCCTGACCAGGATGTCAAATTCACATTCAAGTTTCAGGAGTTTAGTCCAAACCTCTGGGGCTTGGAGTTCCTCAAGGGGAGGGACTATTATATCACTTGTAAGTTAGATTTGTGTGTCCTACAGGAGGAATAAGTCGGTCAAAGAATTTCCTTTTATCTTTTTTTTCATTCCCAGGGTTTGATAAGGACATCATACTCAGATCCTTCTCAATTTGTCAGTTTGGGTGAGAATCAAAAAGGAAAAAAAAATGGTGGCCTTGTTATTGGACCGCTGTCGGTTAAGGCAGGATCTCAGTGGCAAGTGATGCATGAGATAGAAAGCAAGCCCAACCATGTAGCCTCGCCCACCACCTCGCCACGCTCCGACGGCAAACTTGGCTCTGGCTGGCCTGTGTGATTCCAGGGGCTTACATGCCCCAAATCACTCAAGGCTTTTACAGCATCAGGCAGATTTGATGGGGGCTTTCATTGCAACGTGCCTTGTAGCCTGTGAAATGTTATCTGACCTAAATGCTCCTAACAAGTCTTTGTGTGTGAGAGTGACAGGGGTGAAACAGAGTTCTTGGGGTATGCGTCTGTTATGGGAGGAGAGTTTTTTTTTTAATATTTCCACATAAGTTGGATTTTTGCAACGAGAGTTGCTTCCTAAAGACGGTTGAAATAATGTTTTATTCATTTCATTTTTTTATGCCAAGGCTGCATGTAGAGCAGAAGTCATTGGTTACTCAGTTTAATGAGAATATTACCCTCAGTTTCCAGTTTATTAGCTGTGTGCAGCTCAGACTAATGTGGTCTAACATTGCAGTAATGCATTCAAATTTAAATTCTAGTTACTGTATAGATACACCTTGAGATATGTTTGATGACTGTTTTGGGAAGGGTGTTGCAAAGATGTGGTTTACACCTAACTGCCATCCAACATGTGAGAAAATCATGCAAAAACTTCCAGAAACCACAATTGCTTGAAAACGTTGCCTTATCAGTTATTTCAGCTGAATTTGTCTCCTCTGTCTTCTGTCCAGCCACCTCTACAGGGTCTCTAAAAGGGCTGGATAATATGAGTGGAGGGGTGTGCAGGTCCAAATCCATGAAACTGGTGCTGAGAGTCGGCCAAAGTAAGCAGCATGTGTTTATTCTAGCGTTCACGGACGAAGATGCGCGCGCACACTCACCAATACATTGATCCGGATTTGTGCAGCCGAATTAACAAGTAGCAACAGTTGTTTTGCTCTCAAAGGTTATGTGTGTAATGCCATAATATCATCTCTGCTTGAGTTCTTATAATCTGATCACGCAGCCATTCTCTCCAAAAGAGATTTGCATGATGAATTACTGGATTTTTTTTTTTACATCTCTTATTCAAACCATCAGTAGCTTACTGATGTCATTATTATCCTGCAGATCTTTTGAAATTATGATCATTTCATGTTTTTTTTTTCCTACTCCCCCTTTTTATATTTATTCTACAACATATACAAAAGTATATTCAGCAGTTTATCCTCTTATCTCTGCTCTCAACGTTAAAAAAGTAAGCTCACATCTATTCCTCCTTCCTTTGAATTCACCGGACAAAATGTTAAAGGAGCATATTGTTTCCTTTTTTAATCAGATAGGCCTATATGTAAGGAAATATGTTAATATAAATGCTTTTACTGCATGAAAACCACAATATTAGATATTAAACACATGCAGACTGTCTGCATATTTTTCTGTCTTATGTATTTTTTGAAATATGTAAAGGGTTATTTGAATAAATAATTCATTTAATCAGCATTAAAAATGAAAAGTCAGCATTTCATGCACTACTTATGCTGATCATAACTGAAAAAAACATTTCCTGCGCTGTTTGTAAACATTACTTGTGTAAACAAACCCTTTTTACAGCGGAAAAAGAAAAAAAATGGGTTTAAAAGCTCTGATTTGGTCGCAATCTTGTTTATAATCTCTGCGCGTGTTACAAGTCATGTAGTTTAGTCGCTGTCACGAATGTAGTGGATTTGATTGAGCATATGGAGCGTGTAAAACTGAAACTCAAGCACGTCCAGTGGTTATGTTGTCAGTGAATATCAAAATGTGTGCTCAGGAAGTTTAAAGGCCAGAGGGGAATTTAATGATAATGCACTGAAGCAAGACCTAAAGGGTCTGAAGTTCTGCTAACGGATGTAAAATGTTGATTCATGCAGGCATAAATTACAAATCTATAATGGAAATAATTTAAAGCATTTAGTCTGACTTTACTTGCTGTTCATGCAAAGGTCATGATATAGATCTATGTTTAAGGAAATGCTCAGTGCCTCATGTATTGATTTAGATATAAAGGCTTTTTTCCTTTGCTACTATTTGAAGTTAGAGTATAAAAAGCTGCAACGATTGAAAACAAACAGCCACCTTTTAATAAGGCTGTACATATCAGGGGGACTTTCTTCTTCCCTATCTAATATTTTCACCAAATTGTTAAAGAAAAGTTTGCTCTTAATGTCTTCATGGTTTCTTTTTCTGTTTTTAATTGCCGCTCTTATGGAAATGCCAGTGTGTGGAGGTCCTCAGGGGGTCGCTTCAAACCCTCCCACAAATGCTTTTGCATTTTTAAATCCACGAAGCGTTTTAACTGAAGATATGTTTTCTGCTTCTGCAAAAAAGAAATCCTGCACCATCGACTCTGTCATTTCGGAAGTAACAGATACGTTTTTTTATGCAATATGCAAATTAACTTTCATGTTCTCAAAATAGTAAAAATTTGTTATTTTCTATTTGTAAGAATGTTAAAGGGAAGTAAGTCAACAGTTGCCGTGGTGATCTTTCACTCAGATGAAGGGATTTCCCTGTTTCCACTTAGTACTTCCTGTAAATATATTACTTGCATGAACATGTCATTCACCAATTTTAGTTAGCCTACTTACCAAAGAAACCACAAGCCTTCTCATTCAAACACTGAAAAAAATAATGCAACCACTTTTGGCATTTACTTAATCATATCTAGTTACTTTAACACAATTGTTTCATGTTAGCAGGGTAGGACATAAAACAATTGTGTTAAAGAAAAAAAATGTGATCTAATAAATGCCAATAGCGGATGCATTCAGTGGTACGTGATTGGTGTAGTTCATTTGTGGAGCTGTTTTAAAGATTGTGCTCTTCTTATGCAATAAGTTAAGTGCTGTAAAAACAAACTTTTAAACATTTTTAAATGTTTTGAATTTTTAAAGAAATGCAACAAGAGACACACATAGCCTGAGTAAATACTAAAAGTCTTTATTCAATTACAAATACTAATCCAAGCTAAACCTGTATGAAAAAAAGCAACTGAATCATAAATTAAATGTATTCAGCAAGATTTTATGGAATGTTGGTTCAATTTTACTAGCCACACCCAGGTCTGATTAAAGCCTAAACTTAAGAAAAAAAATAAAAATAAAATAACTCTTTGAAAACCTTAATCAGACAAAAATTTTCCAAAATCAACACATCATCCACCAATTTAAAGAAATTTGAGAACAAGTTAAAATTAAAGTTGTGGATATTAGTTGGCCTGGAAATGACGTCACAAAGCCAATTCTAATGCTTTGGGAGTTCCACATACCACAGAGACGTGACTCATTGCACACTGTCACCACTGCTAGATGACTGTTGTGGCTGCATTGATTTGCAAATCCCCTCATTGCAATTAAGGGTGAATAATTTTCACAACAGGTCATGTTGGTTTGTAAATCTTTACCCCTTTAACAAACCTAAACCACTGGTAATATTTACTTTGATCCAAAATGTGTTATTTGGAAAAGAAAAAAAAAACTGTAATATCTGATTGCTGAGTGAAAAAAGCATCCTACTGAATGTAAAAAATACAAACAAAAAACAAATAGATAACTAGATATATTCATTATGTTCATTGATCACTGATTGGTTATCAGTGACACTTATTTGCTTTGTCTTTTTTAAACATGTAGACCTAACACATTGTTTTTAAGTTATTAAAAAGCAACCTTGTTAGATGCTATAAAAATATCACATCAGTATTGATGACTATTTACCATCCATTATAAGTTATTTCTTCCTGTGTCAGAATCTATGAAGGATCCAAAATAGCCTAGAAGTGTTGTTTTTTTTTTTTTTTGTTTATTTGAATTTAAAACTTTAGATTGCTTTCCCTTATTAAACACTTCAGAACACAACCAATTTAGTGTTAGCATTATAAGCTTAAAAAACAACAAAAGTTTTCTGAGATTTGAAAGATTTAAACTTTTAGCTTTAGCTAAAGATTTAGCTTGCTTTTGTAAAAGCGAAAGCTTTTGTCTAGTGAGTTAAACCAACCATAGCAGGATGTTGATGTATTTACAATTTAAAAACATTTTTATGCTTTTAAATGTCCCCATGCATACTTTGTATTTCCGTAATAATAAAAGGTTAAGTTATTTTAGATTTCTTTTTTTGTCCTTTGTTTTACTTCAATCAATTTGCACATTCAATTCTAGTCAGTGCTTTTCTTGTGTTAATTTTCTGTTAATATCAATGTATATATTTCTTTAGTTTTTCTTCTTTAGTTGTTTGCATGTAGGTTGTTACTATCTCTCATAGATAAATGAATCCATGGACAGAAGCTGAAGAGTTTAAAGCCAACTTGGGCCTGAGAATGAGACCTCAGCTACAGCTCATATATGGGCAAGACAAACAAATTAATTTTATTTTAGAAAGCACCTTATTCTATTTTCTGCAATTGATTAAATAAAAACACAATATAATTTGTCAAATATCAAAAATGACTCAATTCTGCCATGTTCTTTTATTGTGTAGGTGCTTCAAATTTACATTTTTCCAGATATATATATAAAAAAAATCCCAGTCATGACTGAAAGCAGGGTTAGAAACTCTTTTTCCCCTTAATCGAAATCTACATTTATTTCTTGTTTTTTTTTTATTCTGACAAGCTGACATAAAACAGCTATGTCTAATGACATGAACAACATCAGTTGCAGAACACTGAATTATTATATGACCTCAACCAATGATGCAGCAAAGTTGAAGACATGTATGCTCTTACTAATGTTTTCACTTTGACGTCTTTCCAGATTCCTCCGAGCCACTTTTAACGCTTCAGGAGTCCCCGACCAGATTCCCACCTGCACCACCAAAGACAAAAAACAAGGATATCTTCACAAAAGGCAAGACTCTACTTAGACTTACTTAGACTTAGACAACTTTTATTTTCATGTTGTATACACAGAGTCTATACAAAACGAAAACAGCTCTCATGACATTTCCATTTCTTAAAGTGCAGAAGTGTTCAAATGTAAACAGTGTGGGTTCAGAGCATTAAATATATATGGTGCAATTATGCAGTGTTTTGGTTTGGTGTTGTCAGTGTGATGCTGAGTCTGTGACATCATTTAGAAAATGAAGTAAATTATCATGTTTAACAGTTTGGCCAACTCTGGATGAAGTAGCGTTTTATTAAGAACCTGTATGTAGGGATTCTTCCGATCAGCCTTTTGTTTACCTAGAAAATAAAGAAATACAGAAATGACAAAGTAATTCACAGATCAAGTTAAATATGATTAAAACTAACCTACAAAGTATTAAAAGTAATAAAAAGAAGCAGGAGGGATAAGATTTATTCCAGACCCAATAGTGCTGCTGAGTGCCTGCAGCTACTGACCTAAAAGATTGATCCTCATAGGACAGCAAAGAGTCTTTGGTCTGAAGGTCTTAAAGCCCAAAAAGAAAGAAAATGATTAAAGGAGATCTGATATATGGTTAGAAGGTTATCTGTTTGGAAACCTGGATCTGAATTTACAAATCAAAGAGAAACAAGCATGTGTCCAGTAGGTAATCTGAATGCTACGAAACTCCAAAATGTTAACAGAATAAACAAGATGTTTCAGGGTTTGGCCTGCTGCTCATGGGTCATAAATTTTAAGAGAAAATGTACAGATTATGATTATGGGTGTATAAATTCTTAAAATTAATCATACTTGCTAAAATTTGTCAAACACAGTTTTTCTTTAACAAACTTAAAATAACTGAGGAATGTAGCTTGTAGTTGTTGGTGTTACAATGTCATGTTAGTTTGATGTGAAATTCTTTATTGCATGCCATTGCTCTCCCTCTAATGTTCTGTCTTTCTTTTCTTTTTTTTTCCATGCTTCATGACAGGTATGGGCTCTGAAGCTGGACAGGCATTCCCCTCAGGGCCGGGTGTCATCGTTTGGGTCATATCTGGCTGCTTGATCCTGCTCCTGGTCACTGCAGTTGTTTTAGTGCTGCTGTGGAAGTACCATCGGCGCTGCTGTGTCCCTGATCGGCAGCAGCAGCACCAGCCGCCTGTCTCCGTGTCCCTGAGCACTTTGGCTGTGCCGAAGCGGGACAGCATCAGCAGCGATAACGACGGCTCAGACCGTAGCGAGGTTGTCTTCCCTCTGCGGCCCTCAGAAAGCATGATCTGCCGTCACTATGAGCGTGTGAGCAGTGATTATGGCCCTCCTGTGTATATAGTTCAGGAGATAATGCCTCAAAGCCCCACCAACGTCTACTACAAAGTTTAATGTGTGCTGCTCTTATGATTTCTCATTAAGAATAACTTTGCAAGAAGAGGACTCCAGCTGTCAACTTTAAACTAAAGTCTGGGTTTGAATTCCTTTATACCTTGCAGAGACTTCTGTCCTACTGTCTACAAACATTGAAATGGATCTACAAAACGCGGTGAAGGACAGTCTGATCGAACAAATATCCTGTTACACATCATTCCTGTTACTCATTAACAGAGAAATAAGATTTATTTATGAGAAAATGTCTTTTTACTGCTACCCTTGTGTGAGAGAGTTAACTGTAGTTTATTTAACTCATTGATGAATAAAGCACTGAAGAATATTGAACAGAAATAGATTAGTTTTTTTCAGCATCTGTTGTCTAAACATGTTTGAAATCCTGTGAACTAAAAGATAATACAGATATTTATTAAACTGAATCAATAATCTACAATCAGTCTTTTAAGTTTAATTTAGTAATTATTAAATATGTGATATTTAAAGCTCTGTCTTTTTTTCTGTGTTTCTTAAAACTAAGATGTTTCACACAGGGATCAGAAGTTAGAGATAAACATGAAATAGTAAACATAAGATACAGATCATAAGAAAAAGTGGAACCACAATTATAGGACATCATTTATGCTCACAAATTTACATAAGCTCTGTTGGGAGCTGGAGAAAATACCATTTTTCTCCAGCAGAGTCCGCCGTGGATCCTCTGAGGGAGCCTCCTGCACAGGT